CTGCAGAGGAGTTGGCAATGGCAAGACTGCAATGACCTGTGCTGGGACAGGGGGCTACATAGTGGCCTTCAGGCCTTTTGCCTCCGATTATGTAGTTTTAAATTTGCTTTAGCTCCCAAATTAAATGGGATTTGGTCTACATCACAGAGACATCAAATAAATTCCACGCTACTCTAAAAAGGCCCTAGGGCTGGAATAGCAGGGGAAGAGGACTGTGGACTGAGATGGAAAGGCACTGGTAGAGCTGAGGACCAGTGCACTAGTACAGATGTATGTGGAAGTTTGCCCAGCCCCCACTCTGCTTTCTTTTTTTTTTTTTTGCCAACCAGAGCAGCAATATACTTTTGTGAGAACTATCATCTCCCCCAGCTCATCTCACCCTCCCGACTGGAGCCACATGCATATGCACACACACTCACAAGCTAGGAGAGTCACCAGTTTACAGGAAACCAACTCACGCACACTCATGTCCCACCCCTAGGCACTAAGGGGGAAGAGGCAGAGGGTCATGCATGTCCTGGATTTGTGAGATCATCTCAGTTTCTCTCTGCCTCACCCCCAGGCATTTCCTAATCTAGGACCATCTGCTTAAACCATTAGCTGTGCCAAGGGACAACACAGATAGATATGGGGCAATCTGGTAAAGGCACCAAGAGGAAATGCAGCCGGTAACTTGAGCCCATCTCCACTCTTGCCAGACTACAGCCCAGGTGGTCCTCCCCCAAGCAACCTCTGCGAGGACATCATGGACAGACTGTCCCTGGGCGCTGCTGAGCACTAACACGAGCCCCCGGGACTCTTCCAGCTACAGAGGAAACGGCCCTTTTCTAACCCTGTACCTTGCCGGCAGCTGCAGCCATTCAGCCCACAAGGACCAGCGACCGGCAGGTACCCAGGCCTCGCACAGCCTCCGGTGGTGTCCCGGGGCCCGGTCCCCTGCACACCCGCGATCCCCCGTGGAGGGAATCACATCGCGGGCACAGAAGAGGCAGCTGGGACCATCCTGGGGCAGCAGCCGCCCTGCCTGCAGCTC